GACATACACAAATCTAGTTGCCTAATAAATGCTTGTTTAAAATATAGAGTAAAATGTCCAATTAGGAGATTTTCATTGTTGCTTTGAATATAGTGATTGACCTACTATTAGATGTGATTTTCCTGAGAGCCATTAAAAATGGTCTCTGAAATGATTTTTTCTTAGTTCTGTATATGTCAAAACACGTGGGGTGCCTGGGTGGCTTAGTTGGTTGAGTATCCAGCTCTTGATTTTGGCTCACATCATGACCTCACAATTGGTGAGATAGAGCCCATGTTGAACTCTGGTGGCAGAGGGGAGCTGTTTGGGATTCTCTCTCTCCCTTTCTCCCTCTCCTCTGCTCTCTCAAGCATTTAAAAATTTAAAAAAAAAATGTATTTGCCTATGGTCAGGCATTGGTGTAATGCTCACAATTCAGATTTAGTGCTTTTGTTAGTAGTAATTCAAGCAAAACATAAGGATTTAATGGAATAACTGTAAATGATTGTATAACAAACATCTCAAAATAGTACTTTTTCTAAGTGGTTTGAAAGCTAGAGTAAGTTTTATGTATTTAGGGGAAGTTAATTGGACTATTTATTAGCTCTGCACAAAGTATTTTTACTAGAGAAAAATGATTTTTTTTAAAGATCCTACAACACATTAAGGCTTGTATTAAAATGATATATAGATGTTAGTAAATGAATGAGGCACATATATTTTGGCAATATTAATTTAAATATACTTCCTAAATTGTTTTCTGAGAGCCTATGGATCTAATAAAAACATCCCACCAAAAAATTAAAAAAAAAATTAGCCCACTTAATTCTACCCAGTCTTTTTATAAATTATATAGTGGTAGTTTTAAAAATAACAGCACAACTGCGTACTCACTGATTATTCAGAAGTTGATTGTCCAGATAGTAACCGTACTTTGCTTTTCCGTTTGTCCTTTGGCTATTTTCCTTGCTTTTTAGCAAGTAGATAATCCACGAATCCCTTCACACCCATTTCCTGATCCATAAAATTGTTGATAGGTGCTTCACCAAAATTGTACAAAAGGGATTTGGATTTATCTGCTTAATTGTCCACATTGTTTTTTGCTTTATCACTCTGAGCAATAGGCATTAGTTCAGGAGCCATCTGATTAATGTTGCTGATAGACTAAAACCATTTACTGTTTTTATAAAGTCTTTAAGGCAACTTTGAGATACTAACTTTCCTTTACATTTTTTTTTTCTTGAGAAAAGTTTTTGTCCACTGGAAGATTTAGTCATCTTTGGATGCCTCCACAAAGTTTGTTTTTCTCTGCATATGAACGAAACAGCATTATGAGTAAGGTATAGACTTTAAGCATCTGAAACTGATTGTGCTCAAAGGAGGAACAGGACCTGTTTGGTTTGGACCCCTTCTGTAACATCAGGGCTTGTAGGCTCCAGATTTCTTGGCCTTGAGAAAAAGTTGAAAAGGTAAATGAGGGTTTGTCTCAAGAGTCTGGTCCTAGTGGTGAACTGTGAGATTTGGTTGATTTTGAAAAAGTAATGAACCCCATTTCTCAATCAGCCTCATAGTACTTAATCTAGGCATTCCAAAAGCAAGTTTTAGGCATTGTGTAAATTGGGAAACCTGGATTATGCTATCAGAAAGACTTAGGAAAAAGAAACCATTGAGATTGGCCTCTGGCACTGTCCATTCTAGAGGTGTGGTAATAGGCTACATTCTGCCAGTTCCAGAACCATGTCACATAGACAAAATGCTCCATGTGTTCAAGCCAAGGATTCTGGTGTTTGAGCTATTATCCAGTACTTTTTCCACCCTTAATAGTGGCCCAGGGGCCCATATAAGTCAGACTCCGCTTTAAACTGATAATTTTACAGTTTGACCAGCAGTTCAGCAAAGGATGGGCTTTAGAATTCAACTGCCTGGCTTTAGATCTTTCTATTGTATAATACCTGTGTGATTGTGGGCAAGCTATTTAATCTGTGTCTCAATTTTCCCATCTGTAAAATGGCAGTAATAGCCCCTTATCATAGGGTGGTTATGAGGATCAGATACAGGTAAAGTGCTTAGACTAGCAACTGGTAAATAGCAAGCACTTGATATTAGCTGTTATTCTTCCCAGAGCATATGGTATCTGGTGTTCTGACCAGTTTGCTAATGATGTGAGGAAAACAAAACACAATCCAATCAATTGTGAGGTATTGCCTGTGGTTTGTCTGATTAAACTTGAATGTCAACTTTTATTATTTTTTTTTTAATTTTTTTTCAATGTTTGTTTATTTTTTTGGGACAGAGAGAGACAGAGCATGAACGGGGGAGGGGTAGAGAGAGAAGGAGACACAGAATCGGAAACAGGCTCCAGGTTCTGAGCCATCAGCCCGGAGCCTGACGCGGGGCTCGAACTCACGGACCGCGAGATCGTGACCTGGCTGAAGTCGGACGCTTAACCGACTGCGCCACCCAGGCGCCCCGAATGTCAACTTTTAGAAGTCCATAGCAACCTTCAATAACTGTCTTCCCAAAGGAAGGGCTCTACTGTATTTTGTCACTTAACAGTTGGCTTTATACAGTAGAAGCAATTCATAGATTGCTCATTTAGAAATGAATTTCTCAAGGCCCTAGATTTCAAAAGAGCTTTGCTAACCTAAACAGAAAGGCATTTTCCAACCTTGGAAAGCTGCATCTGAGAGGTGTGTGTGTGAGAGAAGTTCCCTTTTTTGCCTGGTATCCAGGTACCTCTCATTTACAGTGAATTAGTATGACGGTGCTAAGGATATAGACAGTTGTTGAAAAGGCACACTATTAACGCTTTAAATTTAAAGCAAAGGAAAAGACTTGTCTACTCACCATGATCTAAGAAACTTAGGAGTAACTCCAGAGAACTCTCTGGATGTTTTTGTCTTTGATTCTAGCACTCAGCAGGCTGAGGCTTTCTGAAAACCTCCTGGGTACTATTCTTCCGTTGCTGGGACTCTTCCACCTGGGCCTCAGCCAAGTCTTGGGTTGGCATTGGCCTTTTAAGGGTCCTGGCTTTGCTGTCAGGTTATGACTTTTTGCTGTGAATGACGAAAGCTGTCTTGGAAACATTCCCATTCGGACTTGAGAGATAAGGATTAAGGAATCCTGCCAACACATGGGAGAGCTGATAGGGACCAGCATACTGCTGGAAGCCACTTTGCCAGTCCAAGGGCCTATGACCAGTGAGAGGCAGAGGTAGACTTTCCATTCCCAGGGGCCTGTTTAGATCATATTAAACAGTTACTACTTCCTAACAATGGAGTTCCTTTGTGTAACAGGATTTAGGTTTTCCCAAAATAAAGATTATTTGTTCTCCAAGTGTGCTGGGCTATTACAGAGGTCTTTGAGAAAGCCAGTCATTCCTGGTTAAGTTGCTTGGGGATACAAGGCTTTGGCAAAGGATAGGGAGGTATATATCTTGTCTCATTTTGGAGATGAAAAGCCAGAAATGTACTTGACGAGAGTACTGTTGACAGCAGGAAAGAGCCTTAATCTAGTGCAAATTACTAATTATTAGAGGATCCATGACTTCCCAAGGTCACTCTGAAATTTGGTAGCAATCCAGGGACTAGAATTGAGGTCTCCTTCTCGGCCAGAATTCTCCACCTGATGTCTGCCTCTCCAGGGCAGATGTGCTGGAAAGCTGCACTACTTAGAGAAACACCAACCAGAAATGGCTCAAATAAGACAGAATGAGATGCCCAGGACAGAATTTTCACCTTCAAAGCCTCTGTACAAGGATATGGTATTAGACACCTGATGTTTTCACCCTACTTCCCAAACATGTTTTTAATAGACTATCTCAAGCCGCAGGGGGCATAAGGGAGACAAAACCCACTGATTTCACTTACTAGTCAGACTGCAGCCGTGGCAACAGAGATAAGGTGATGTAGGCTAACTAATGAAGCTCAGCAGGAAATCAGTAATAACATTGACAAGAAAAACATCCTGGCATAATTTTTAAAAAAAATAAAAGTGCCTAAAATGAAAAGTTTTTGTTTTGTTTTTAACTGCAATTTTTGCCAACTGTGCTTGGTATTCTGTGACCAGTGCTGTTTTCTTTTTATACAGTAGTATTAGTGTTCTAATATGTGAGGGAACCACAAAAGGCCACCCTCATTCAGTAGCCTGGTTGTAGCCACCCCTCTCACCCTGCCCTAACAACCTAGAAATAGGCTGGTCTCCCAGAATCCAGGCTGTGGAGGAGAGAGAACCTACAAAGGACTTGCTCTTGGTGTAGAGCATTCTTGTGTCTAGTTCTAACAAAATGAGAGTTTTCATGACATTTCTGCTTTGACAGTACTAAGTGCTGCAAGATGATCTTGAATGAGGGTTTTTCTGCTTTGTTTTCCTAATGAGAATCTGCTTTGCTTAAAACCTAGGACTTCATTCGTATTAGTCACAGAAGACTGCTTGGCTGTATGTTAACCTGCCCCTGGCAAGTGTTAAGTGTTTACTAAAAATCCAGCAATGCTGGAAGATTGGAAAAGCTCTGTGGTTTCTCCCTTACAGAAATTGCATTCATCATGTATTTGAGGAGTCACGTTTCAGAGATGAATATTTTTACTGTGTACATGATTTTTCCCTCCAGGGAAATGGTTAAGTTGAAGTATGCTGTCATTAGCTTGTGAATAGTAAAACTTGGTGTTGGTCACTAAACTTGAATTCTCCCTGTAACAGTCCCAGAGTTTGAAAATTCAGATGCTTCTAGGGGCCAGAAGGGTAATATAAGTGTTTAAAGCAGTCCCTACTCAGTTCCAACTGATTGTTGCCTTATTTTCTTACAGGGATGAGCCCAGTATTGCTAGATTGGATTTTCTTTTTAAATAAGAGGCCAGAAACCAGATTTTTAGTGAAATCTCCCCATTCTTAAATGTTAATAACTTACTCTAAAACATTTTAGACATGTTGTCTAAATAAAACAGACCTGGGCCACATGGCTTCTGATCGAGACTTTCTGCCTTGCCCAAGAATTCAAGCAACATATTTTACTGAAATAGATGTTGCATGATCTCTTAAGTTGTGTAAGTTTTATTAAATATCTTTTTTCTCTTACTAAAAAAATCTAAAACATATACAACAGGCCAAGAATAACCATTCTAAGAAAAATGCTGTCAGTAAATAAATGTACCTTGGAGTGAAATACAGAAGATTTTTGTTTCGTAAATTATTCCCAGTTGTTTCAGTTTGGCATACAGTGAGGATGCAGACTTGTGTCTGAGAACTTCCCCCGACAGAAGGGCCACACAGCTCCCCTTCCATCCCCCCTGGGCAACCCCTATTTCTTACTGGTGAATATTAATATTTTTTTTTCCTACAGATGGACTCACATGTCTTTTTAGTGAGACAACTTTCATTTTTTTTAATTGGAGAGTTACTAAGGGAATGAAAATGAAGTGTAAGACGTAAGGTAGAGGGTGTCTGTATGCAACCTCTATGCCCACCCCTCAGAAGCCTTGAAGCTTTTGAGGTACAGACCCTCCGAAGGGTCCTTTCAGCCCTGGAAGCTGAGACCTTGCTGAATTTTGAAAAGCAATTTGGTCTTGGACATCATAGATTTACCTCCAGATTAGAATGGGTTAAAACAGATTTACAGGTGGTTGGTTACTTTTTTTTAAGCCAACTGTGATACCATTAATGTATTTCTAACATGTAAACTCTTCATACATTCTCTTAAACATCACAGTGAAAAACAAGTACCCGTATGTGTGATAGGGCAGGCAGAGGGCTCCACCTGCTCTGTCCTTGGTAAAGGCCCTTGGCCACACTGGTGAAAATGCCGACTTCTCTTCTGCATGAATACAAATGTTGTGCCATCCCACTGGAGCACCGGTGGACCCCAAAGGCAGGGCAGGGGGAGGGGATCTTTTTGAAATGTTTCCAGCTCTGTCCAGCTGTCTTCCAGCCTGGGAGTGCTGCATAAAACTATAAGGACACTGATGAGACCATGGATCTGTTGCCATTCTCTAGGGAAGACTTGGCTTGGAGTATGGCTGCCTGGATTCTAAAATGTGTCCTTGACTCCATGGAGTAATTCTTGTAGTTTTGCCTGGAAGAGATCAGAGAATCAGACATAAAAGGCTGCTCGAGGAAGTACTTTTCCTTCAATCTGAACTATAGGAACCTACTAGGCCAAGGAAGATTTTTAGAAGCTTAAATCCTGGTCTGTCTAAAAGAGTTGGGCCTTGCCCAGTAGGGATTAACAGAAAGGATGGGTAGTCCCTCACCCTCTGGAACCAGTCTTATTCCTGTTGAGTCCCCAAGCTTGAGGGAATGATTTGAAGAAGTAAATGCATGAGGCTGGAAGGCAGGAGACCTGGGTGTGACCAGGTAGTTGTGCTGTGACCCTGGGTAATTCACTCCTTACTTCTGGGATTCCAATTCTCACTGGCAGATAATGAGGGAATTGCCTTCTACACCAGAGCTGGGTACCCAGGGACACAGGCCTGGCCTCTGGACTACCATAATGCCCTTGCCAGCACCCTCTCTTCCAGCTTCCTGTGCTCCTCTGCCACCAACCAGGGTGAAGCTCCTGAGGGGAGGAAGACCAAGGCTATTCAAGCCTCCAGCCTTACTTGGCAGTTTCCAAGAGTTTGACAGCCTCTTCGTTTCTGCCTTGCTCCATGAATAGCAGGGCCAGCTCCAGCAGGGCATTTGGGATCAAGTAGTGGTCATACTTAATCTTCTTTTCACTGTGGGACAGAGGAGGACATGTCTTATAGGCTCTGCCCTTGAGACATCCTATAGGTTCTTGAGCCTTCCCCCAGAGGGAGGATCTAATCCATGCCCTCAAGTGGGGGTTCCTGATAATGAATTCTGGTTGGAGGAGGTTTCCCTTCATAGCCACAGAAAGGCTTAAGATCCACCACAGAGGCTTCCAGTCCTCTGCACCTAGAGCCCCAATTCCCTAACAACTTCTGGCTCATGCCATGTATTGCCCATGCCTGCCTCTGTCCCCAGTGCCCTTTGTCCAGGTTAAATGATTTACTAAATTGGGAAGTCTATGGTCTCCATTCCGGCCCTTCTGACTCACTCTCGTTGGTCTGCCAGAGATATCCTTTTGAAGCCCAAATCTGCCCTGCCCAGTCACCTTCCTGGATCTTTTCTGTCTACAGGATCATGTTTAGCCATGTAAGCAAAACATCCAGGACTTTCTCAGTCTAGTCCCCCTTATTTCATCTGTACCTTTTCCCTCTATAACTTCACCCAGGCAGCAGAGGACCTAATCACTGTCACCCCAACCTCAGGTATTTTTCCTGTGTCCAGGCTTTTTTGCAGAATGCTGTACCTACTCTACTTAAAACTCCTGCCTTTCTTTCTCTGCCTGATGGAACTTCCCAGTTAAAATGGCATCCCTGGAAAGCCTTTCTTGGTATCTTGCTTTACATATAGGTCCCTCCTCAGGGCACCTGCTGTCCTCTCTGCTTTCCTGTAACAGCCCTGGTCATACCAGATTGAGTTGCCTATAGCTGTCTATCTGCAACATTTGTGCTCCTCAAAGGTGGAATTGAATTACAAACTCCAGGAGGCACCATTCACCTGAAACTTTTGTGTGGATACACCCCTGTAGTTGGGCAATCTGGTGGCCCTAGGGGATGAGGTCTGAATGATCTCTGCCCAGCAAGAATCCTGGCATAGAAGAGACACTAGTAAAAGTGTAGTGAATGGGGGTAGGCTAGGGTCAAGCACTGGAATGCATGTGAGGAAGGAGAAACCCAATTCTACCCAGGAGATGTGGGCCCAGCAGTAGGCCATCTGGAGTGGGAGCAGCCTCAGAAGCACTTACTTGGAAGAAATGCTCCTGAAGTTCTCCTCAGCCTCCTGAACACGGCCTAGGTATTTCAGACAGAGGCCTTTCAGCAACTTCACCAAGCATTCATCATCCACTGAGTACTCATTCTCTGAGAACAGGGGAGTGAGGGAAGACAGGCTTGTTTATTTCTGCAACAGTTCCTGCACGGAGCCCCTACTCTGCTGGGCCCTGGGGACAGAGAGGTAACTTACACATGGTCCCTGTCCTCAGCAAGCTCACATCTGGGAAGTAAAGACAGATACTGAGACAATGACCGTACAGTGAGATTAGGATTGACTGAAGGAGGCCCAGGGGTTGTGGGAGCCCAGAGGCGGCCTTGACCCTACCTTGGGGGACAAGGGACAGCTCAGAGAAACTGCCACTGAAGCTCAGTCTAGAAAGGCAAAGGTTCATTACCTGGATAGAGGAGGAAGGACATTTTTGGTAGAGGGAAACTTTAAAGACCTGTGGTCTGACTCAGCCTAGCAAGTTCAAAGGCTTGAGGGTAGTCACCTGGGCCCTTTTCCAGCATCTCTTCAGCTTTGGTGATAATCTCAAGTATCCCATCTGTGAGTTCAGGCTGCTTCCCAATCACAGCGTAGCCATTCCAAATGTACATCATTTCCTGAGGGTAGGGGAGCAAGTCAGTCAGGTTTCCTCCCCAGTGGAGTCTTGGTTTCCCCAGCTGTAAAATGGGCAGCTCAGATTAAAAGCCCTTATAGTTTTAATCTTTTATGCCAAGTCTCAGCCCAGCCTATGTAGTTGTGGACTTGAAGGGATCATGGCAGGGAGCCTCATCACTTTTTGGGATCTCACCTTACACCAGTGTGGATTTAAGATGGGCCCGTATCCTTGATGTTCTGCTCACAGCTGCACATAGTTTTCAATTACTCTTCTGTTCATGGCTTCCCTGGGTGTTCAGCTCTTTCCCAAACCTCTCTGTCAAAACTCTTTCCCCATACTTTGAGGACCAGGCCTTGACCCACACTCTCCAGGAAGTCCTCCCTGTTCCAGCTGGCAGGATAAATATTGGAGGAACCATATTTACTTAAGCACTTCAGGATTTCCAATAGCTCTTAAGACTGTGTCACCTTCTCTTTTCCCTCAAGGCACTGGGCTTGAGTTACCCTCATAAATACTATGAAACACATCTGGATTCCTTTCTTTGCCTCAACTCTCAGGAAGCTCAGAATACTAAATTAAATATTCATTTATAGTAAATGTGTTAGCATTTCCTAAACTATGAAACCAGGGAATAGATGTGAAAGTGATTTGTATACAAAAAGTTCTATAAAGATGTTACTATGTTTCTTGTTATACTCCAGGGATGGAATTTAAATTTAGAACCAGTATTCCTCAAAAGGTTTATATGGTCCCAAGTTAGCAAATATTCCATTAAAAAAAAGAGGCCTGTGGCCAGTTAAGTTAGGGAAAAAATCATCTTCATGCTTACTCTTGAAGACTTACAACATATTATTACATAAAGACTCCAAAAGGTGTATACAGCAAATAAACTTTTTTAGACTTTATTGAATACATTTAATCCACAAAACTATTTTAGGCATAAACAAACATTTTGCAGATTACAGTTTGGGAAATTCTAAATTTTTGGTATAGTTGCTTCCCCATTCCTTTCCTTCCCATACCCCCCCATATGATAGTTTTATTATGCATTTCAAACTATAAGCAGTTTCAAAATTTGTTTAAAGATATCCAGGATATAGAAGTTCTGTATTAATATTCAGTTTATTTATAAAGTACTTAACACATTTTATCAGCTAATTCTCTTAACTGCTCTATGAAATGGGCAAGGTATATATTTTACATTAAGGGAAAGGGAACCCTATCCAAGGTCACACTGTTAGTGAATAGTGGAGCCAGGACCAGAAAAAAGCAGTGCCCTTTCTACTTTTCGGGTTACCTTAGTATTTAAACAACACTTTTAACAAGCTGGAAACTTCTGATGCCAGCTCAGATCATGCATGGAATTAGCATCATACAACACTGGTTCAGAATATAGGCTCTGGAACCATTCTAGATTTAAATTCTAATTCCCAACTCACTAGCTGTGTGACCTGGACAAGTTATTTTTATATTTATATCTATTTATTAGACATCTTTCTACTTATCTATTAAGCATTATTATCCCCATTTCTAAAATGAGGATAACACCAGCACCTACTCTGAGTTGTTTTAAGGACCAAATGAGGCAAGGGGTGTAAAGAGCCTTGATCACACAGCAAGTGCCCAATAATACTGTCAGCTATTGTTATTTCAGAGGTGAACAGAACACGGTCCCAGGCCTCAAAAACTTGGTCCAGTGAGGGGGACAGTGTAAACAATTATAATCATGTGACAAGACTGAAACAGACTGGGTGGGAACAGAAGCAGCTGAGTGATGCCCCTGCCTGGGCACAGGGGTGTGAACCTGCTCTTTCATCTTGAGGCATCTGAAGCCTGCTCACCTGTTTCCCTAGCCCCACCAGACCAGGACTTTCTCAGGCAGGGGATGGCTCAGACTCATTTGTATGCTTCCCTAACAGTCTCAGATAAACTGAAATCCTTTCCAGGCCCCTGAGGTATGAAGGTCTTGCTTCCTCATCCACTTCCCCCTTGCCATAGCTGTATCTCTGGCTCTCAGATAATCCCCACAATCCCAAACAAGTGCAGAGACAGTCAAGACCTTCCTACTTACCAGAGCAGGGATTGGCAACGAGATTGGTTTGGGAGAGAGGTAGCGTCTGGACTTCCGGATGGCAAACTTCTCTGTAGGTAGAGATTTCCCAGCAATCTTGAGCTTCAAGCCTGGCACTGCTCTGTGAAAGAGATGAGGAGGGTGAGAAAAAACTAAGGACCGAGATCCTCAACCTGCCCAGCCTCTGCTTCGCTCCTCTCTGGGCTTTGGTTCCTCAAGTTTATAGGATAGTGTTGGACTCAGCCTGTGGCTATGGCCTGCCCACTTCCTGAGGCTAGGCAAGGGGCCTCCTCCACATCAGCTGGCAGACATGAGAATGTCAGCAAACTCCCCAGGCCTGCTTTGCTGGTTGTCTCACCACTCCCAGGCCTCATTTCCAGAAGGCCAGAGAAGCCTGACCCCAGTTTCACAGGGAAGACTAATACCCAGAGAAAGGGAAGGACCTGCCCAAGACCACACAGATCAAACCTTTAATTAAGTCCTGCCACGTGAGTTGTGGCCTCAGCTGTTTCCAAAGGCAGAATAAAATGTGTGCAGCTGGGCAAGCCTCCACATGGGGGGCGCCCCCCCCCCAAACCTCACCCATTCAGCTCCATCCCACACTCCTGATTTGTGCCACAGGCACTGGGCGTGGCTGTGACCCTCAGGCTTGAGCCATCCAGGCCCAGGAAACAGCTGGATCTAGTTGTGACTTCCCTGCCAAACACCTCCCCTGCTTATTCACTATGGAACCTCTCTGGGCCCCAGTTTTCTCATCTCTAATTGGAGATAATGATATGAAGGGGAGTAGAATTTGTTACCCCAGAATATGCCTGTGTGACATAAGGATTATTTTAGGCTGATTAAGAGACAGCAGATATAGGAAAAGCTCTGAAAACCGAGTAGAAATTTCTCTTTTGTAAGAGACATTGTTTTTTTTTTTTTTAATTTTAATGTTTATTTTTGAGAGAAAGCACATGCACGAGTGACTGGAGGGAGGAGCAAAGAAAAGGGAGACACTATCTGAAGCAGGTTCCAGGATCTGAGCTGTCAGCACAGAGCCAGGCATGGGGCTGGGCTCGAACTCACAAACCATAAGATCATGACCTGAGCTGAAGTCGGACACTTGGATGTTCAACCTAGTGAGTCACCCAGGGGCCCGAGACAATAACATTTATAAGGGAGACCTCCATTTGTAGGGGCATCTCCTCTGTACCTGGAAGAGGAGGAAAAGCCCTAGAAACTCTTAAAGGAGGCAGAGACTTAAATCTGCATAACAACCTTATCCCTCCTTTACTGTGCTTTGCCTGGAAACCTCCCATAACTGGCTCCCTGTCTCCAACATCTTTTATCTTTAGCTGGAGATGGTTTGGGCGATTTCAGTTACTGTTTTTCCAGAAAAACTGGGTCTCTCCATGTGTATAGGAGGTATACATGTTATTAAACTCTGGTTTATTTTTCTCTTGTTAATCTTTTATTAATGGGGGGCGGGGGGGGCGGTGGTCTCAGCCAGTCTCTAGCTAAGAACCTAAAAAAGTAGAGGGTAAAAAAATGATCCTTCCTCCCCACAGATACTTAACCTCACAGGCTTTCTGGAAGAGTTATGAGATTGAGAAGTGGAGGCACTGGATAAATGATAAACACCCTACGACTGTGACAACAGTAGCTGAAAGCTCAGGTTACCACAACTTCCAGGTCTGCAAATTAGGGTCAACCCTCACCCATGGCCAGAGGAAGGCCCTAGGCTCCATCCTCAGCCTGCTGAGGCTGAGCCCTGCTCTAGACACTTCGCAGAAGGCAAATAGCAATACAGACTAAGAAAAACAGCCAACATTTAGTGGCTCCAGGCCTTACACCAAGGTTTTAAATATAGTCTCTATTTCATTCACAAAACAACTCTGCAAGGCAGAAGTTGTTATTCCCATTTTATAGCTGCTGAAATGGTTCACAGTGACAGCTAAGAAATGGCAGAGGGTGGATTTCATCCTGTCTGACCTCTTTGGACAGCAGTGTCCACATCTGTCCCATTGACCAGAAGAAAGAGACTCAGTGGAAAAGATGTTGACAAGCCACTTTCGTGAAATGGGGGGAAAGGCCTCTGAACAGATTCAAAGAGCTGGAACAAGCAGCAGCAGGAGATGGTGGTTATGGAAGGGAATGGGGCACATGGGGGAATCCTGAGTGAGGGTCAGGAAGCCCAGAGCCAGGGGAATTAAGAAGCCCACCACCACCCTCCCTAGTGCCTACAGCTCAGGGCAGCTGTGGGCAGATATGGCTGAGGCGTAGGATACAGTGCGTTGGTAGGACCCACCTAAACAACTCCACTTCATCATCCCCGAACGGCTTGTAATCCTCCTTCCCAAACATGCTGAGGTAGGCAGCCTTCATGTAGATGTAGGTGGCCTGTGCAAGGCAGAGCAACAGGTGTGAGCAGCCGGCCTTCCAGTCAGCCCCAGATTGGCACAGATACCTCATTCAGACCTCACTAGGCCAGCACAGTAGCCAAGCCCCAGGGGAGAAACTGAGGGTAAGGAAGCTGAAGTACCTTGAGGACTTGAGCTGGGAGCTAAGTCCAGGAAAGGCCCATGTCTACTTAAAGTAGCTGCCCTCCCTCTGAAGCAGTGGAGAGAAGGACTCAAGCAACTAGTGGATGTGCAGGGCAGGGTAGGGCAGTGCTGAGGCAAGGACAGATATACAAAGAGGACAGTAAGAGCTTTGGGGAAGCAATTACTTTAGATTGGACCCCTGAGAACCAGTGGGAAGATTCAGAGATCTGAAAAAGGACCTTTCAGGCAAGGGCAACAGCCTCAGCAAATCCAGGGAGGGGCAGAGATGTATAGTAAGAAGCATAAATCATAGCATAAATAGCATAAATCATAGAATGTGTAAAAGAGATGTGAGGCTGCAAGAGTGTGTCAGGGGTCGGCTCAGGGTCCCTGCCTTTCTGTGTGCCAGGCACTGTACATACACCACCCTACAGGATTCAAAAGACCATGTTAGAAAGGAATCTGTACCTCGCCTCTGCTTCCTGGGACTGCAGAACTTATGGGGGGGGGGTGGCAGCAGCAGAGCTGGAAATGATGCTAAGTGTGTGTGGCTTTAAGGATCCACACATTGGATCCACAGCCAACCCAGACAGGGAAGGTGCAGTTGTGCAGACCCCTATCCCCACCTCCAGATACATTCCTTCCCCGGAAGTCCAACACCAGAGGAACCTGGTTCTGTACTGCCCTCCAGTGGCCAAGCCTTGAACCTCAGCTCCTGCTAGCTGGGGCTCTTGAGGAAGTACCTGCGGGTGGTCTACAAAGAAGTGTAGGGGGTGGAGAAGGAAAGGGAGCAGAACATCCTGGAGTCTAGTCTCAGGAGAAGGCAGAAAGCAGCCTCCACCAAGGGCACCTCCCAGGCTGAAGCCAGGGTTACTCCCAGTTGCACTCTGCCCTCCACACTTTCACCCACCCTTCAAAAAATGAGGAAAGGCTGGTCTTTGAGGGGGTATGGGAAGAATCTACCCCCTCTGAAACTGTTGCCCATCCTGTCTTTAACCTGGTGTCATCCCTACCTTCTCCCTCTCTGCCCTGGAACTGAGTCACCAAGTCATGATGATCTTACCTCCTATAGCTCTTGAATCCCACTTACTGCAACCAGCCTCCACCTTGGGTCCCTGCTCCAAGCCACCAGGGATGTCTTTCTACTGCCCTTGTCCATACGGTCTCCTAACCCATCTCCTTGCTCCCACCCCTGTCCCTGAAAGCCATGTCCACCCCATTGCCACTCTGATATTTTAAAGTCAGATCATGTCAGTCCCTCTTTGAAATCTTCATATCCCATCATGCTTAGGATAAAATCCAGACTCCCTGTCAATGGACTATGAGCCCTTACCCTATCTTCCTCAGTTTCCTCTCCAACTTTATCTCCTGTTGTTTCCCCCTCACACACATCACTAGCCACAATGGCCCCAGGGCTGTTTCCAGAACATATCAAACACACTCAGCTTCCCCCTCCCTCATGCTTGCATTTTCAGTGTCCTTGGCCTGGAATGCTCCTCATTAAGATACCCACATAGCTTTCTCCTGCACTTCATTCTGGTGTCTTCTCAGACAGGCCTTGCCTGATTTTTCTTTACTACACATACCAGCCTGACATTATTACACTGCACATCTATTTGTGTGTTTCTTGTCCCTCTTCCCACTAGAATATGAGCCTTGAGATGGAGGGGTCTTTGCTCTGTTCACTGCTGGATGTCTTCGACCCGGCACATGGGGTGCCAGCAACTGCAGGAGGGATTTCTTAGAGCACAGATCCAAGCCACACACATCAGGGGCTCCCCCACTGTTAGACTAAAGGCCTAACAGCCACTCAAGGCCCTCTGCTTGTCTGGCTCCTCTTGTGCCATTCCTTCCCCATCAGTCCTGTGCCATCCCTCTGCCTGGGAAGCCACTCTCTCTTCTCACCAGGCTCAGCCGCGGGCTTCCTCCAAGAGCCTTCTCCTACCCCTCAGCCACCCCAAACAGCTTACCCTCACTGAATCACCAGAAGTTAGGATGGATAAAGTAACCTAGAGTTCTGAGACCCACAGACATCCAAGTTATCAAAGGATGCTATGCAGCCACACTGCCGCCTCGCCTGCTGGGAGTCCTGTCTCCCAGGCTTATCTGATTGCCCAATGACTCCACACATTTATTTTGCTGCATTACTCTACCAGGGTCTGTGTAAATAGACAGTACTTGTCCTCAAGAAGCTTACAGCCAGTGGCCTGGGGGAGATCCCTCTGCAGCCGCCTGCACTCCCACCCACAAACCCCTTCACCTGGTGACACAGAACCTCTTGGCAGCACCCTAGCTCCTGAGCCTCTGTCCTTGCTGTTCTCTTGGCTCCACTTCCTCCACTCTGCCACCCTAATTCCTCCTCCTCTGTCCTCTTGACTGGGCTACCCAGGGCTGCCTGTGAGTTCCCCTTGGATTCCCCCACTATAGCCCTGAGCACACCACTGTCGCAGAGCACAGGAGTGAAGGCTCCACAGGGATGCTTGGCACAGTTCAGTCAGAGGAATGCAGAGCAGAGGGGCTGGTGCATATGGCAGTGACCATAAGCTTAAGTACCTAAAGCTGGAAGTTGGTGGACTCTGATGGCCAAATGCTACAGATTAGGAATGAATGAGGCCCCGAACTCGAGGCGCTACAACCCCCACTCCCAGAAAACACTTCTGAGGGAAGCACTGGAGAGGGAAGGGGACCAACCACCTCAAAGTCACACAGCAGGCTGGAGATGGAGTTGACTCATGTCCAGATTTCTTGACACCTGGGAGGCTGGCGCTCTCTCTGCTCCTCACAGCAGCTGTGAGGCCACCCCAGGCCTCTTCCCTGTGTAGGTGAACCCAGCTGCCTGCCTTCCACCATAGGAAGGCTTCTAGGTCACTTCAGTTCAACGAGGTTCCTTCCCTGATGTTGTTTTTCTCATTGGGAGTGGGAGGTGAAGAGGAATGAATGTCAGGCCCACAAAGGCTGGGTCTGAGAGTACACCTTCAACAGCAGGGTGGTCTCAAGGCAAGAGGGGCCTCCTCCGTGGGACTTAAGGAACAAGGGAAAAGCAAAGGCCTCTGAATCACACAGAACTGTCTTCAAATCCAGTGTCTGTCACCAACAGCTGTGTGGGCCAGGAAAGTCACATACCCTCTCTTGGCCTCCAGGTCCCTTGTGCGTCCAATGCAGATAACTTCTACCTCAGTGGGTGTAGTGTGGAGGAAATGGCAAATGCTGGGCACACAGAGCTCAGTGAAAGCCTGCTCCCTCCTCCAGCTCTGCCTGCCCTGGACCTAGAGAATTTCCTTTCAGCTTGGTCTCCAGGCAGGGGTACTGAAAAGGGACTTCCATGCAGAGGTGGGGAGGGATGAGAGGGATTTAAGGTCACTGAGACACATATTCTATACATTTGCCAATACCAGATTGGACGCTCTCTGATGATCTCTATGATTCTGACTCTTGGTTCAGAATTCTGTGCTATCGTTACTATGATGGTAACATCTAGTACTTATTTTACCACTTACCCTAATGTTGTAAGTTTTCACCTATGGTAGACATCTATCTGCTTTGCTTTACTTTGCCTTCATGGTATCTTTTTAATGCTTCCCCCAAACCAACACTTTTTATAGGGACATCACCTCATTTTTTTCCGGAGAACCACCCTTCTACTCTTGATCCATGAGGGGTCTTCCCACCCCTGTTTCCAGGCACTGAAATGTGATCTTTGCTAGACCCAAGAGCCTCTGTTGTGGGACTATGGTTGAAACTGAAGGGAAGATATTGAGTTAGGAGCAGGCAGTCCTTGGCCACCCTGCCTATCACATGGAGAGAACCTGCCTGCATAGCAAAGATGTCACAGAGCAGAGGACAGCCACAGATGGAAAAACGCCAAGCTGAAATGACATAATTTGAATTCCTGGATCCAGCTGTACCTGAAATCAGATGTGCCTAGAATGTTTAGTTCTATGAACCAAAGAGCCTTTTGTGTTTTTTACCTGCATAGTCCAATACAGTGGCTACTAAACCCATGTGACATTTTAAATTTAAATTTGAACTAATTAAAATTAAATAAAATTGAAAACATCTAGTTTCCCAGTTGCACTAGCACACTGCAGGTGCTCAGTGTGCCCATGTGGCTGGTGGCTACCACAATGGACAGAGCAGAAATAGAACATTTCCATCATAATAGAACATTCTGTTGGACAGCACTCACCTAGACAGTGTGAGCCATGCTTCTGTCCCTTATGACTAAAACTGTTGACTGATGCTTTGTAGTTCTAAACTTTATCTGCTCCTCATGGTCTTTAGTTCCTTCCAACCTATTAGAATTTATGGTTCTATTTAAAATTCCAGCTGATTTTCAGGTTTCAGTTAAGGGTTTGGCTCTTATGGTCTGGAGTCTTATGGCCAGGCTGTGTTGGCCCGGTCCCCCAATGACCCCAACACTTGGTGTCAGCCCACCTTAGACCAGGAGTTCTCCTTGCTGAGCAGGTCGGCATAGAAGTAGGCCATCTTCCACTGGCCCTTGTAGGTGAAGCACCACATCAGCTCCCAGTAGCACATGTGGTGGAACTGCTTCCAGTGCTGCTGGGCCTCACAGCACTCCTCGAACCGCTGGATGGCCTGTGGGCACCTGCTGGTCAGCCTCATGGCCCCACCACCCCACCACATCACATAGAAGACCCAGCCTTTTCCACTGGTCTAGTCTAGCCCTGTGCCAGGCTTAGGGAGGGAGGGCAGGCCGCAGCACTGGGGAGATGGGACAATTCTGGGCTCCAGTCCTAGTTCTACCCACTAAGTCTCACTTCCTGCCCAACTCTGGGACTCTAGTCTTTCAGCACAAAATGAAAGGATGGGATAGAGCTATAATGGAAGGATAGGAGGCAGTGGAAAGTTATTAATATTAAAGCAGCATAATAATGTCTGCGCCTCAGAGCAGACTCCAAAGTTTCCAGTAGCTCTCATGAAAGGAACCGGACCTAGGGTATCTGTCCTTCTGCTTGAGGAATCAGATCCAGGGCCAGCTGGAGACCCCAGAACGCCACACTGTAACAGTCCCTCCTGGGTATTCTGCCAGACCCATGACCCTCCCCTTCTAACCCCTTCATTGGCTCCGTCCCACCTATGGAGTCCAGACTCCTTAGCCAGGCCACCAAGGTGCCAATCTCACACCCTGGCACCACTACTGTGCCATTCACAGTGCCCATCGTCATGCCCTGAGTAGGCCTTCCCACCACTCTTACTCACTCAAAGACCTCCCTCTGCAGGGAGCTGCAGTCTTACAGCTCCTTGCCAGATCCTACTCACCACAAATGCCACCTCCTCCCTCATCTTCCTAGACTGTCTCATTCAGAATTGCTTCTCCTACCCTGCTGTCTTGTTGGTTCTCCCTTGGAGCACTCCTCCCAGTCTGCCCTGTCTCTAGTGTGTCTGTGTCTGTGTCTGTCTGCTTACTGGTCTGGGAGACCCCAAGGAGTCGCCAGCACTGGCCCAGACCCCCATTACTCACTGTGTCAACATTGCCTTTAATGGCTTCAATCCGCCCCGCAAAGAACAGGAAGATGGCACCCTGCAATGACACGCACGTGGGTCTGTGTGGGTCCACAAGGCACACATTGGCTGGGGGTGTTGCAGCAGGAAGCAGGGGCTCACCTTAGGATATCGCTTCAGGTAGGGGTTCAGGAGCTTCTCTGCCTCCTCAATGTTCACATTCCCAGTACCTAAAGGAGGTGAAGGGACAACACACATCACCACCACCAGCTCTTGTAATCCCTCCAGCAACCCACTAGGAGCTTCTCAGGGCCTCTATTTCCCTCTCTGTGAAATGGGGATGATAATTCTTCTACCTCCAGGATGATGTGAGCATTAAATAAGATGATACAGATATCATCCTGGGACATCACAAGACTCAATAACAAAGAGCCATGCCTGCCAAGGTGGTGCCCAGGACCCCAAGGACCTAACTACAGTGCCCTCACACCCTGCACAAGGTGGGCATGGCCATCCCCATTTCACAGATGAGAAAAATGAAGTTGGAACCTGGTCACATTGTGAGGAAGTGAGTGGTCAGCAAGCCAGGCCCGAAGACAGATGATGTGGCTCTGTTGATTCTGGTGTCAGCGCCCCATCCCCAGTCTTGTGGACCCAAGCAGGGTCTGCAATCCCTTGCCATCTCATCCCCTGCCCTTGGAGCCAACCAAATCCCAGAAGCCCCAGCTTTTGCCCAGGAGGCGCACCTACCGAGCACAAAGGTGAGGAAGGTGTGGTAGCAAAGCAGCAGCATGACACAGAGCACAGCACGGAAGCTGTGCCCGGATGCGCCCTCCTCCAGCTGCAGCAGCCCGTAGTCCTGAGGGAAGAGACCGACAGGCTGAGGCCAGCCCCAGCGTGGGCAGGGGCCTGGGAGGTGGCTGGACAGCCTTGAGAGCAGTGCTGCTGGAACGGGAGTGGGGGGGTAGTGGGAGGGGACAGCGCCGGACTCCAGACACATCTGGAATCCTGATGGCCAGGCCTCCTCTAGGGGCCTCAGCAGCCTTCCTGGGGGGCAGGGGACACTGCTGCCAAGGCCAGGGCAGAGGCTTGGGTCCAGGTGTTCCCTATTTCTGCAACAGCCCCTTCCCCGTTCCTGCCTTTGTTCACCTGCTTGCCCCCATGGTGGGTACTGAGCCCCTGAGCAGTCCCTGGTGGGGGAGGAGGAGGAGGCCAGATTCCATTTAGGCAAATAATCCTAACCACAGTCTCAGGGCATAGATGGGGCCAAGATGACTGCAGTCTGGGAAGGCTTCCTGGACAAGAAGACTCTAGAGCCTGGCTGGGGAAGAGGAGAAGCCAGATTCCACTTGTATCCCTTCCTGTAGTCTCTGCCCATCCTGTCTGTTCTCCAGAGTGTTCTTGTTCTTTCTAATACACAAATCTGACTTACCTCACCCTTACCTCAAACCCTCCAAAGCTTCCTTGCCTTTAGGATAAGACAAAGCCAGAGCTGGTGCCTGAGGGCCCTCACACTCTGACACCGCCTCCCTCTCCTCCTGGCCAGGCAGGCCACATTATCCCACCCCTTGGCCTTTCTCATCCTCTTCCCTCCTGTCATCATCCTGAAATCCTTCTCGTGACCCAACGGCCTTCTTAAGAAAACAAAACTAAAAGGGACCTTCAGAGCCTCTGGCTACTGTTTCCCCAGACTGGGGCCATGGACCACAGATGGCAACCAAGATTTTAAAGGTCTCCAGACAGACATGAGGCATAGAGTCCCAAGTAAGGGTCTTCCCCTCTCAATTCTCTGTCTTCATGGCATCAGGGAGAAAGCCTCAGTCCCGTGCTGGTGTGCATTCAACATCCCTGTCGCTCTAAAAACCTCTTCTCACAGGAAAACAGCCTCTACAGATCATACAACCTGCTTTTGCAAGATTGCTTGGCCCTCACTATATCTATGATTATGTTCTTATCGTGCCAAATAATATGGGTTTTCTATGTAGTAATGTTTCCTTTAGATAAACTTACATAAAAAATATGAACCATTTTTGGGAAGAATAATACATAAATAATAACAGAGGTCTGCAGACATGGCAAAAATCAGGAAAGGTCAGAGGAAGTTCAAGTTGAGAGGCAGTGATCAGTCAAAAAAAAAAAAAATCCCCTTTTTCACCCAAAAAAGGCCCAGAGGAGGTTGGCTTTTGCTCTAAATCACAAAGAGAAGGAGATGAGGCTGGAATGACCCAAGGCTCCTAACTTCCAGGCCATTGTTCCTTCTGCCACATGGGGCCTGCTCCACCAGGGAGCTCCCCCTGATCTGCTACCTAGTACTTAGACTCCTGCCCTTAGCAAAGCCTCTGGGTGCTTCAGTCCTCTGGTTTCTGACCTCAAGGTCTGCAGGGCTTCCCTCAGCCATTTCCCACACAAGAAAATGGTCCCAAGGGAAAGAACCTGCTTAAGGTCTTCCAAAGGGAGGAGGACCAGGATCCTGACACTGGTCAGGCTCAGAGAACATGATTCCAGACCACTGCACGAAGCTGCCCTTCATACCCACCCTTACCCTAGAGCCTCTTCACCCTGTGTGAGGCCAGGCAGGTATCACTGGCCCCATCTGATTGGAAAGGAGACTGAAGCTCAGAAAGGCCTGGGCCTTGTCCAGGGCCACATACTGAGGGGTGCTGTGCCATTACTGGCACACAGATCCTGCAGCCCCTCAGCCTCACCCTGTTCAGCTGAGCCACTCAGAGGTCCCAGAAGTCAGGTGGTTACCTTGTTTCCTGAAAACCCCACAAACTCCAGCAGCCGCAGGATCCTGGTAGGAAGCATGGACAGCGTCTGCAGGAACAGAGGCAGGTGGGCCTGTGGAGGGGCTGGAGCTGTCCCTCCTACTTCCCAAGCCCCCAGAGTCCTGGGGGTAATCCTGGGGGAGTAGAACCTATCTCCAGAATGCCCACAAGAAAGCCCCAGGTTTCCCATAAAGCCAACTTCCCTAGATAGAGAAGCAACTACAGTGTGACAATTAGAAGCAGACTGTGTCTAAATCCTAATTTCACCATGCCCACTGGGTCACCCTGGGCTAGCTACATATCCCCTCTATGACTCAGTTTCCTCATCTGGGAATAATGCCCCCTACCTCCTCGGGGTCCTGTGAAGATGGATCAAATTAATATATGTAAAGCATATAATGGAGCCTGCACATAATAGTTAGCCATTATTGTTGTTACAAAGAATCCCTGCTCTGCACCAGGGCTCCATCATTGCATTTGATCCTCAGAACAGTCCTGCAAAGAAAGATTATTGCCCCTTTTGACAGATGGAAAAATAGAGGCATGGATAAGTGACAGGACATGTCTAAGGCCCCACAGCTCATCAGAGGGGAAGCCAGTTCTTAAACCCAGGACAGTCCAGCTGTAACTTGCTAAAGCATCCAATGAACTCTGCCGTTTGTACTTCTCAGCACTTGGGCCAAGATCCCCGTTCTCATTTTACATACAAGGAAACTGGAACCCAGAGTGGGGCAGGGACACCCCACCACCCAAGGCCTGCTCTTGGAACAGACTTTGTCTAGAGGGGAGAGAGCCATCCCCTGCCACACACACTTCTAGACAGGTCTGTGGACACCCAGGGCCAAGAGTCTAAATTTTCAATGAGCAGCTCCTCCTCTCAGGAGTAGGCTCAGAGCCTCTCTCACATTCCTTCTGCCTAGGATACCCTTCCCCACCTATAGATCCTTCAAGATCCAGCTCAGATACTCCTCGCTCCTTGAAACCTTCCCCAGCTCCTCCAGGAAGGGTTCTTGGCTCTGTCCCTGCAGGTTGCCTGCTGCTTCCAGACCTGTCTCCCTCCCCACTACTGGTCAATGTTTAACCACCAGCTCTCCAGGATGGAAAAGGCCCTGATTTATTGTGTTTGTCTTTTTCTGGTCCTATAAATACTGCCACCATGGTGCATTTCAAGCTTTCAACTTGACTTGGGAAGAAATGCACAGAGAGACTCTGAAGCACCTCCACCCCACCTCCATCCCAGCTCTGAGCTCCCCATGACATTGGCAATGCATCTGCTTTATCACTAGGTCCCAGGATCAGCTCAGTGCCCAGCATGGTAGGCCAGCAGAGACCATGTGAAGGTGAATTCCCACTCACCAGGTTGAAGGCTCCCACGCCGAGCTTCACCCCTCCTTCAAAATGCCTGTGGTTCTCTCCCTTACAGTATTGTGAGGACTGCACGAGGCTGTCCAGCTCCCTGTGGAGACAGGCAAAGTCCTTTTCAGCCACATAACAGCGGCTAGGTCCCATTCCAGCTGGGACTAAGGTTGTCCCCCACTCCCAGCTGATCTCAGAACTCCCTGGTGGTAGACTGATAACAGTTATGACAATCAGAGAGCTGACATTCAAGGAATTTCTGACCCCGTCTGCCTAATAACATAGTCCTTGCCCCTGAGCGTCAGCTTTATCAGCCCCAGCACACTTGCCTTGTCCAGCATCTAAGCATTTTCACATGCTCTTCATTCTGTCTAGAACAATTTCTCAACTTTGGCACTACTGACATTTTAGGCTGGATAAATTCTTTCTTCAGGTAAGGAGGGGGCTAACTGTATATCATAGGATGTTTGGCAGCATCCTTGGCCTCCACCCACTAGATGCCAGACGTAACCTCCCCCCAGGTTGTCATAACCAAAATGTCTCTGAATATTGCCAAATGTCCCAGTGAAGAGCCACTGGGCTAACTATAACACCCCCTCCTTCAGGAAGTCTACCTGGGGTCTCTTGGTTGAAATCCACCCTTCTTTTTCCTGGTCATCAATTGCACAGAGTCCATATCCCAGCCCGTCTTGGGCAGGACAGAAGCTTTAAAGATGTGCCTGCCTCTTTCCCAGGCCATGAGCATCTTGAAGCCTTTCAATCATCAAACACTGACTGAGGGCTCCCTGTGTCAGGCACTGGACGACAGCTAGAAGCAAAGCCACCAAGTGGCTGCCGTCACAACTCTCCCACTCTAGGGAACAGATCCTCCCCTGCCCCCACCATCAAGTCACTGTGGGGGTGGAGGGGGGCTTCAAAGGAGAAGACTCCTGGGGTTTTACCCAGTCTGGGGTTCAGGGAAGGTTTCCCTGAGAAGCTGACACTTGAGCTGAAACCCTAGGGATGGGATGGTTAGCCTGGCACAGAAAGAGTGTTCCCAGCAGAGATACAAGCATGTCCAAAATCCCTGAAGTAGGAATGAGCTCAGCATGTCTGAAAAATTGAGGGAAGGTACAAATGTTTGAGGCAGAGTGGGGTGGAAGCTGTTGCTAGGAGGGCTAGGAGGAGCTCCCGGAATGACTCGGGACTTTATCCTAAAAGCAAGAGGAGTGTCGGGAACTGGTAAGGGGGTGACCTGACAAGGTTTGTGCTTTGGAAACATCGCTTTGGTAGCTGAAGAGACTGGAGGGGGCAGAGCACAATTCCAGCACAGACCCACAAGGCCATGCAGTGTACATATACTACATGGTGTGTTACATCCCAGTGGTACCTTGAAATCACACTCACAATCTCTCTCCAGGGAAACAGTCACATTAGATGGAGAAAATAAAGATGATAAGTAGTCTCAAGTCAATTCAACTTTTAATAGAAAGTGAGTTTTAATGCCAAACTTGGGGGAAGAAACTGGGCTTTCAAAGCTTTTTTTTTTTTTTTTAATTTTAGAATTAGAGACAAGAATTGTGGTGCCATGTTGAGTAGAAGTGTTCTGGACTGAGTCTTATTTCTTTTATCCCTAGACAAAGCCTGTGCTTGGCCCAGTGCTGAGATGGCATGGAAATGATCTGGCCCTCAGGGAGCTCCCAGCTTGGGGAGGCTGTGTGTGTGGACACCATCCCTGTGTACTAGAGGGGTCCAAGGAAGGCTTCATGGGGAAGGTGGCATTTGGATTGGGCCTTAGTGGATACGCAGGGGTTCTGCTGCTGTTCTCAAAATTACTGTTCCTGTGTCTGTCTCCTAGCCTCTACCTCATCAAGGTATTTGTGCAGAATCTGTCTTATTTTCCCCAGGGTCAGGCATAGACTCAGGGGAACCAAATGAACAGATATACCCAGGAAACCACGTAAATAATATTCTGGAAAACTGAGGTCCCGAGGGTGCAGAAATCTGCCTGAGGTCACATGGCATTCTAGGCATCCAGCATCCAGCCAGTGCTACCTCCCACAAAGCAGCCTAAGAGGCACAGGGTAGTAGATGCTGTGGCCCCAGGCTCCCCCAGACCAGCCCCACTCACTTGTAGGTCTGGTAGCTGTTTCGAACTTTGATGCCGCCCTTGATGAAGCTCACCATGTTCTCATCCTGCAGGAGGGAGAGACGCTAAGAGTCAGGCTGGGTGGGTAGCCACAGGCTTGAGAGGGATCATACAAGGCTCTGGGCCCGGCCTGCCCCACCTTGGGCCCAGCTCTATGAGGGGTTCTGGGCAGCACTCAGGGGTTAGCCAATCCAGTCCTCTGTAACCCCTGGGACTTGAGATGAGGATCTGCTTGCCAAACAAGACCTCCAAAATGTCCAGGGCCTGGAGGAGGCACTCCCGGTGGTTAACAGTGCCTCCTCCAGGTAGAGGAGTTGTGGGAGAGCAAGAAGGATGCTCAGTTTTGGACTATTTGTGTTTTCTACAACAAGCATCTATTTGTCACATTTGTAATTTAAAGCACTAATACCTACAGCCCACTTGTAGTTCCACTCCTGGGAGTACATGAGTATGCCCTAGAGAAACGAACAAACATGGGCTACAGGAGTTACCTTCAAGAATGTTCACTGCACTACTCTTCACAGAGTACAGAACCAAAACAACCCCAATGCCCTTCAGCAGGAGACTGGATGAACAAACTGCTATACCCATAGAAGGGAATATTATACAACTACATAAGGTTGGGTAAAGAAAGCAAGTCCCACACAGCTTGAGGCCTTAAGAAGCTTGAAGCTAACTAAAATGTAACAGTATGCTCCTCACACATGAATAGGAAGCTGAGAAAACTGTTTTTTTAAAAAATAGGTTGGGGGATAATAAAACTCTAGCCAATGGTTTCCCCATGAAGGAAGCAGGGGACAGGGTGGGTAGAAGACTCGTCAGCAGTATTCTGTTCTCTAATTAGGTGGGGGAATTCATGGGTGTTTATTATGTGTAATAATAGAATAAAAAAGGCCATACACAATGCAATTATTAACAGTGATCCTAATGAAGAATTAGGATTATCTAATTCTGTGAGGTACAAAAAGGGAGGACAGCTAACAAAAGTAAACAGTACCCCAATAAATTTCTTATGTGCCTGTCTACCCCAACACACGTATTTACGTGATGACTGTTATGTTATAACCCAGATTTTCTGGCGAAATCATGAAGTGATGGTTCTCATAATTACCACTGTGTGGTGAGGAGCACAGGCTCCAAGTCAACCAGACCTGTATTCAAATCCCAGCTCTGCCATTTGCTAATCACGTGACTCTGTGAAAGTGGCTACTCCCCTCTAATCCTCCCCTTTACAAGCCTATGGTGAAGATTTAACAATATATGTACATTTATGTGAAAACAACATGCAATGTGTGTAAGGTATGTAAAAACTACATACGTATAATATACACATAAATCCTGGTATGTCGTAGAATCAAGTTTGATTCATTCAAACTTGTTTGTTGAATGAATCAAGTACAAAGCAGGCTTTGTGCTAATGCTGGTCACCCCACGTGACCCTCAGCAGGAAAACAGCAGTCGTGAGGTGGAAGCACATCCTAGTAGTGGATGGAAACATGTGTGCTGAGTGTGGAGGGGGTAAAGCCCATCACCTCTGCCACTGAGCCTGGCTAGGGTTGGGAGTGTTGGGGTGACTGAGCCTCAGTCTTCTCCCGGACCATAAGGAGGCGGACTGTGGCTGCTTATAGACCCTCTGGCTTGGAGTTGGTGACTGATCTTCTGAAATCCCCAGGCTGCTTGTACAAGAAGAGGGTTCCTACCTGTAGAAAGGTCAGAGCTGCTCTCTGCAGCAGGCACTCTGCATAGCAGACTTCAGCATGGATTTCCTCTGCGGGGAGAAAACCAGCCCTGAGGCCTCCTGGGACTCTCAGCAGGCAGCACAGGCCAAATCCTCCCCACTCTGGGAGGTGGTCTGTTTCCTTCACAGCTCTCAGCACTGTCTAGAATTTTCTCACTCCTTGCACTTGCCTTCCACCTGGTTCCCCCATCCCACCATCCAGAATGTCAACATAGGGCCCTAGGCCTTGTTCTCTTGTTCTGCACGCATCACAGTGCCAGGCAAGGAGAAGGTGCTGGGTTGAATGGATAAACAAAGAAGATCCTAATCCAGGGAAGCCCACAGGCTGTAGGAGTAAGGGAAGGAGAACTCACACAGCCCAGGGAGTCAGGAAAGACTTCCAGAAGAAAGGACATTTGAATTGAAAAGGAATGGAAAGGTGAGGCAAGAAGAGCTTTCTAGGCAGAGGCCTGGGAGAACCAAAAAACTCTGATGTTTGGGGACAGCCAAGCCACAGAAGGTCGAAATGGGGTTAAGGTAGGGAGAGACTTAGGGGACAGGTAAAGATGAGGGGCAGAGGTCTGACTGCAAAGGGCCTTATACATGGGAGGGGGGTGCAGATTTGGCCCTGTGGGTATCAGGGAGCTATGGAAGGCAAGAAGGAGGAATGGCCTTGTCAGGTTCATTGTCTTGTGTTAAAAACTTCAAGGGCTCTTGAGGCTAGAGAACACCATTTGCTCCTGCACTGAAGAGCCCTACCTTGCTCCAGCTGGCTGCTGCTACTTCCGCGACTGCTGCATGGGGTCGCTGCACACAGGCTCTGGCAGCCTAGACCATCTCTCCCACTGCCTTCAGCTATCTGATCCCAGTGCAGGCTCCAAAACCATATTCCCCTCCAGGGCACTTGTGATCACTATGATCATCAGGCCAGTAAACCTAATCAGACACAAAATTCTAAGCCCACCCTAGCCTGAAAAGCAAAGCTAATGACCTCGTGATGGCATTTTCTCTCCCCAGCTTCCAGGTCCTCAGCAGGTAATGCCATCAGGTAAGTGAGCCTCCCCTGCTCCCCAGCTCACCTGAGAGCAACTTCTCAAAAGGGCCCAGCCCACTCTGTGAAACTGGGAGATTAACCGCCCCTTTCCCCATCCATTCCTGGGCTGGGGACAGGGCTGCCTGGGGTCAGCGGGGTTGAGAGGACATTGAGATGCCACACCTTCCGTGAATTGGTCCATAGTGGGGCGATGCACCAGGTTGCTAAAGGAATCTGTTACAGAGGACTTCTTCCGGTGCCTGAAGAGGAAAAAGGGGCCTCAAGTCATTCAGTGAGGGTGAGCCAGGGGCCCAGGTGGGCTCAGATGCATCTCCCACCCTTCCCATGGACTCCACACACACTGAACTGGCAACTCTCCCAAGTCCAGGCTTTCTCACACTCTTGCTTCTGTTGTTACCCCTTCTTGGAGCCCCCTCCCCTCCTTTCTCTGCCCTGGCCAGTTTCCAGTCAACCTTTCAGGAAGCAGCTTCGGCATAACCTCCTCCAGGAAGCCTTTCCTGCTCCTCTGACAAGAACCCTACAGCCCCTGGCCAGGCAGTTCAGGTGTCAGAGGTGGCCAGTGCCCACCCAGCACAGGGCCTGGCCCAGGGGTGTGCCTAGTGAAAGACGATTCCAGCTGTGCATAAACACTGAGGGTCCATTTGTTCATTCATTCACTCAAGCGGTTTATGTGTACTGAATACCAATTATGCACCAGGCCCTGTGACCCGTGTCTTCATTCAGTCTCCACAACAGCCCTACCTTCATACCTATTTTACATATGAAGAAAGTTGAGTCCAGAGAGAGATTTGCCCAAGATCAAAGAGTTACCACTTGACAGAGCCAGAATTCATCTCCTTAAAATCAGGCCTGGCCCCTGGAAGCTGCTTAGAGACTGGCTCAGATCATAAGACTCCTGAGGCAGAGCTGACAGGGACAGCTCCTAGCGCTTGGGGACACATCCTCTTAGCCAAAAGGAGCAGCATTAATAGTGGCATTTAGGCACTGGGATAGGCCAAGAAGACAAAAGGACAGACCTCATGACCCCTCATCCCTGCCCGCCCCATGGCCCGGACCTCTGACACAGCGTCTGCGCCTCCTTCATCATGTTGCCAGCAAGCAGGATGTCCTGAGGGTCAAAAGTCATCATGGCCTGCATCTCCAGGATGGTGGCATATGTCAGCGAGTGGTACATGCTCTCCTTGGTTCTGCCAGAGAGAAGGGACATGAGAGTGCCAACCCCCAGACCTCCAGAGGTAGCTGGCCTGTGCCGATCACCTCCATAAACTACCCACCCAGCATGGCAGGGAAACAGAGATTCAGAGAGCGGAAGAGACTCTCCCAAGGTCTGACCCTCCCATTGCTGCTCAAAAGGCCTCAGATCCCAGCTCCTCTCCTTCCTGCTAGTGGCACCAGGTGACTTTCCAACTCTGAGCCTGTTTCTCATCCATTCTGTAGGAATGGCAGCAGCAAGAATGTTGTGTGGACTAAAGTAGGACTTCAGCAACCTGTTGGTCTGAGACCGTATGCCCAGTGCCTGCCTCTCACCTTCTGCCACACCTCCTAGAGCAGAGCCCAAGTCCCTTCTATCCTCAAGCTCCCCTTCCCCACCCTGCCCCCTGCGCTTGCCCTATCCTTGTTCCCTGGGCCTTAATGGCCTCACCCCCTCCTGCCTTTCCCCATCCCATCATCTGACCATGTGGCTTTCTGGTTAAGTTCTCACATGGCTTTCATGTCCCATGATATAATGCCTGGGCCCAAGGCTCCACACAACACAGGTTCTGCCCACCTCTCCAGCCCAGCCCTCTTGTCACTTCTGTTTCTGCCCCATGACCTGCCCTCCCTGACTCATCTATCAAGGCTCTCAACTGCCTCCAAGGCCACTGGGCATCCAAGGCTCCCTCCTCAGGGCGCATGTGTCTATAATGAAGCACAGGTCATACTGAATTTATATCAGCAGAGGCTTAGCTCTCTCCTCAGACTGAACTGTGGGCACCTCAAGGACAGAGCTTGTATGGAACTCATCTCTGTCCTCAGTACCAGCGCCACAGGCCCTTTGTGAGTAGCCTCAGGAATCCTTCTCCTCCTGCCATCTTGCTTCTTCACAGCCCAGACCTCTCAACAGAAAAGCATATGGTAGGGGCTTTTAGTCTAACACATGGAAAGAAAAGCAGGAAGGGAGGGACAAGAAAAATGCCAGTTCCCCTCTGCACTTGGGGAAGTTACAACATGTCTCAGCCTTGATTTATACTTCTGCAAGATGGGGAAAATAATTCTGGCCTGCCCAGGTCCCTATGGGATTGGCGGGGGATCACTCTTGCTCGTCACATGGTAGGAGCTATAGCAGTTTTCACTCCCTTCCCTACACATCCCCTCATTAATCATTTACAAAACTCCCCAGTGCCAGGCTTATGCTGGGAACTTCAGGGGAAAGAGATGACTGTTCTATTGTAAAATCACATGACTTCACCCCTTTTCATACCTTTCTCATTCATAAAACTGTAAAATTAAAAACTCTTTGTAAATTAAGTGTAAATTCTGGGTGACCTCTCTGCCCAGGTAATATTATCCTGGGGAGCCAAAGGTTTTTAAAGGAAACCAAAGGCTGGCCCACCCCTCACCAGCCCTGGCAGCTGTCCCAGGTCTTTGCTAGAACTCCTTAATCTGAAGGCAGTGGCTTGTGGAAAAGAGGCCACAGCCTGACGTGGGGACAGAACTTAGGCTTCAGCGTCCCTGAGACACAGGCTGCAATCTTGGCTTTGCCAGTTACCAGTTGTGCGATCCTGGTGAATCTTATAAACTCTCTGAGCCTCAAGTTTCTCCTCTGTAAAATGGATACAATAATCATTCTCTCCCAGGGCTCTGGGTTGCTTAAATAGGACACCCAGGCCAGAGCCACATCATTGATGCTCAATAAATGTGAGTCTGCCAGGGTCAAGGGTCACTGCCCTAGAGAGAAACTCTCTCCTTCAGCAGACGTTTCCCTGGCAGTACCCAGACCCATCCCTCCAGATAATCCCCTCCCACCCCAGGCCTCTTGAGTTCTCAAGCCCCTGCCCCTCTCTTCCTCTCTCCACACCAGTGAGACCTGGGACTTAGCCCTAAGCACCCAGTCTGATACTGAGTCCAGAAGGAGGGGCAGCCCCACATGGGCAGCTGGCAGGCAAAGTGGAATTTCTAGTCTGAGGCCGAGTGCCCAATATGCACCTGCAGCTAGGAATCCTGGCTCTTCCCCAGCCTACCACTGGAAGGCCCTCAACTGCGTTCTGGACTGGGACTTGTGGTACAGGCATACATGGAAGGTACTGAAGGTTTGGTTCCAGACCATTGCAATAAAGTGAAGCAAGTCAAATGAATTTTTTGGTTTCCCTGTGCACATAAAAGTTTAATTAAGTATGTAACAGCATTATGTCTAAAAAAATACAAAACTTAATTAAAAAATACTTTATTGCTGGGTTATTGGGTGGCTCAGTCAGTTAAGTGTCCAGCTTCAGCTCAGGTCATGATCTCACAGTTCATGAGTTCGAGCCCCATGTCGGGCTCTCTGCTGTCAGCACAAAGCCCGCTTCAGATCCTCTCTTCCCCTTCTATCTCTGCCCCTTCCCCGCTCTCTCAAAAATTAAAAAATAAATAAAAAATACTTTACTGCTAAAAAATGTTAATCATTATTAACATTTCATTGAGCTGTAATAGTTTTGCTGGTGAAGGATCTTGCCCTGATGTTCATTGCTTCTGACTGATGAGGGTGGTGGTTGCAGAAGGATGGGTTGGCTGTGGCAATTTCTTTAAATAAGACACGGGGTGCCTGGGTGGCTCAGTCAATTAAGCATCTGACTTCAGCTCAGGTCATGATCTCATGGTTCGTGGGTTTGATCTCCGCACTGGGCTCTGTGCTGACAGCTCCAAGCCTAGAGCCTGCTTCAGATTCTATGTCTCCCTGTCTCTGTCCCTCCCCCACTCATACTCTGTCTCTCTCAAAAAAATAAATAAATAAAACATTAAAAAAAAAGACGACAATGAAGTTTTGCTGCACTGGTGGACGCTTGGTTTCACAATTTCACAATTTCTCTGCACATGTGATGCTGTTTGATAGCATTTTACCCACAGCAGAACTTCTTTCAAAATTGGAGTCAATCTTCTCAAACCCTGCTGCTGTTTTATCAACTAAGTTTATGCAATATTCTAAATCCTTTGTTGTAATTTCAACAATGTTTACCAGGAATAGATTCAATCTCAAGAAATCAAAATCTTTCTTTGCTCATCCACAAGATGCAACTCCTCATCCGTTCACGTTTTATCATGAGATTGCAGCACCTCAATCACATCTTCAGGCTCCACTTTTAATTCAAGTTCTCTTGCTCTTTCTGCCACATCTGCAGTTAACTTCCTCCCCTCAAGTCTTAAACCCCCCAAAGTCGTCCATGAGGGTTGGAATCAACTTCTTTCAAACTCCTGCTCATGTTGATATTTTGACCTTTTCTCATGAATCACAAAGTTCTTAATGGCATCTAGCATGGTGAATCCTTTCTAGAGGTTTGCAACTTACTTTGCCAAGATCCATCGGAGGAATCACTACCTATGGCAGCTCTAGCCTTATGAAATAGATTTCTTATGTGGAGAGACCTGAAAGTTGAAAGGACTCCTTGAACCATGGGCCACAGAATGGATACTGAGTTAGCAGGCATGAAAACAACATTAATCTCATTGTACATCTCCATCAGAACTCTTGGGTGATGAGGTGCATTGTAAATGATCAGTAGTATTTTGAAAGAAATCTTTTTTTTCTGAGCAGGTCTCAACAATGGGGATAAAATATTCAGTAAACCATGTTAGAAACAGACATCTGTCATCTAGGCTTTGTTCTTCAATTTAAAGAGCACAGGAAAACTAGATTTAGCATAATTCCTAAGGGCCCTAGGATTTTCAGAATGGTGAAGGAGCACTAGCTTCAACTTAGAGTCACCAGCTGCATTAGCCCCTTACAAGAGCCAGCCTGTCCTTTGAAGCCAGGTCCTGACTTCTCCTCTCTAGCTATGAAAGTCCCAGATGGCATCTTCTTCCAGTATAAGGCTGTCCCATCTACACTGAAAATCTGTTGTTTAGTGTAGCCACCTTCATTAATGGTCTCAGTAGAGCTCCTGGGTGACCTGCTGCAGCTTCTACATCCTGTCGCTTCACCTTGCACTTTCATGTCATGGAGACAGCTTCTTTCCTTAAACCTCACAAACCCACCTCTGCTAGCTTCCAACTTTTCTTCTGCAGCTTCCTCACCTCTCTCAGCCTTCACAGAACTGAAGAGAGTTAGGGCCTTACTTTGGATTAGGTTTTGGCTTAAGGGAATGTCGTGGCTGATTTGATCTTCTATCCAGACCACTCAGACTTTCTCCATATCAGCAATGTGGTCAGCAATCACTTTGTTATCATTCTGAATATTCACTAAAGAGCACTTTTAATTTCATTCAAGAACTTTTCCTTTGCTTTCATAACGTGGCTGTTTGGTGCAAGAGGCCTACCTTTTGATCTGTCCTGGCTTTCAACACATCTTCCTTACTAAGCCTAGTCATTTCTAGCTTTTGATTTAAAGAAGGGACATGCAACTCTTCCTCTTACTTGAATACTCAGAGGCCATTGTAGGATTATTAATTGGCATAATTTCAATTTGGTATGCCTGTACAGAGGTAGGACAACTCCCCAAACCCCAGACACCCCAAGTTTAGTTTATAATCCAAAGTTCTTATTTGCTTACAAAATCCTGACCCCTGAAAATAAGAGTCCCTCACCTCTGAGCTAAACCCAAATCTGGGACATGATGCCCATTGGGGTCCCACTTTCTGGGCCCAGACCAGCTGTCAAACTGGAGAGGGCACTGGAAGAGCCATCAGAAGAGCACAGTGTTGGGACCTGGGGACTCCCTGGCCATATGGAGATCAGCTAAGCCTTGGGGCCTCCAGCTCTTCCCTCCTCTACCAAAGGCAAAATAAAATAAAGCTACTCAAAGAAGTGACAAACACAGAAAACAAATGCCCAGGCTGGGGAGGAGTGGGTGGTGGGGCTGGAGTCTGATGAGCCCATTACTCTCTGAGGGCAAAGTATGAATAACAATTAAATGAGACACTGCATGCACAATGAGGAACAGTGAATGAAACTGGACCTCAACATTTTTTGAAGCTTCAATGGCTACAAATGGAGAGGAAAGGTCATTTTTTAGCAAGAATTATTTCCCCTAGGGGTGCCTGGGTGGCTCAGTCAGTTGTGTCCAACTCTTGGTTTTGGCTCAGGTCATGATGTCATGTTTCATGAGTTTAAGCCCCCGTCGGGCTCTGTGCTGACAGTGTGGAGCCTACCTAGGATTCTCTCCCTCTCTCTCTTCCCCTCCCCAACTTGCTCTGTCTCTCAAAATAAATAAATAATTAAAAAAAAATTATTTCCCCTAGACCAGTGGTTCTTAATAAAGATGGGGAGATATTTTTCCTGTCCTCCTCACCCCAAGCCTCCATCCCAACCTCTAGCATCTGCCAAATTTCTCAAAACATGTTTTGGTTGTCACAAGGTGGGTGTGGGTGAGAAGTGTGTTAATAACATCTACTGTTTGGGAACAACACTCTTAAACTGAAAAAGAAAGAAAAGATTCTTTTCTGGAATGGGACAAGAGCTAAGATAAAGAGTAGCTTCACTACCTTAAGTGTGAAGTTAAAAGATACCCTCATGGAAAAACTGGTTTTCTCCATGGTGCCTCCTTCAGGGCAAGCTTTTCCTCTCTGAGGCCTGAATTGTAGGGCCTGAGGTGGACTCCTGAGGTGAAGGAATGAATGCCCTACTGAGGTGAGGGAGGATGAGGCAGCCCCTCAACATGCAGTGGCTGTGGGGAGGGGGTGTTGAACATGTGGGGGAAGGTCGGCAAGGAAGGTGGCAGGGAAGAGCCTGCTTAGGGACAGGTAATGACCAGAAGGGAAGTGGAGCTGGGGAGTCTTCCAAAATACTAGGAGGGGAACCTAGATGTTCAGGGATGGAGCAAGACAGAGCTTGGCCTGCCTCAGACTGTGGCCACACTCTTGCTGCAGACCCAACCCCTACCCCACCTCAAGCCCAGATCCCCTTAGAGGGTGGGGATGAGGTGCGGGGACTGCTGCGGAGGGATCATTATAAGACTCATGATCATCACATGCTAGAATCCCCACTACCCCCAGAAACTGGGCCATTAACTCCAAACAGGACAACAATGGGTCAGTCAAGTCTACAGAAATTGAACAGGTCAGGCTTGTGAACTCAGGGGAAGCAGTCCCCGAGTCAGCATTTGCCTTCCCTCAGAACTTGAGGGACCAGATGTGGCAGAGGACAACCACAACCTAGAGCTGAAAAGAAGGCGTTAGGCAAGTAGGCAGCACACATGATTAGCCCCTGGGCCCCTCACCCCTACCCCAATCCCAGAATTCAGGCAGCCAGGGGTACTCTGACCAGGCTGCGGAACAGCTTCTCTGGAGAAGCTGACATCTGGGGCCAGGTCATCCAAAAGCCAATCCCAGCAATTACAAGGTCAAGGAGCCAGGTGCTTCCCTTCTGGTCATTACCTGTCCCTCCTCCCTGCCACCTTCCTTGCCCACCTCCCCCAATATCCAAAAGCCAATCCCACCAATTACAAGGCTAAGAACTGGCTCTTAAATATGACCAGACAGTCAGGGACCATCAGGCATTTGAGGAAAGCCCCCACCAGAAGATTCTCCCATTACATAGAAAAAGGGAACCTGGAAAAAATGGAGATTATACAGGAAAATAATAAAGCATTTAAAAGAGAAACATATTCTGTGATAAAAATAACAACAAATACTTACTAGAGTGCTCACTATATGCCAGGCCCTGTCCTAAGGACTCTCATACTCCAAATATAGATATAAAGAACAGAATGCACCCAGAAACCAAGAATAAGATGTTGTAGGGAAAAAAAGAACATTCAGAAAACAATGAGTCTGAGAAAATTAATCATATGATCTCAGAAAAAAAGAAAATAGAAGGATCTCTTCTAACTCAATAGAAGGATTTAATGATAAGGTTGAGGAAATCACCCCCAAACTAAGAGAAAACAAAAAGAGAAAGAAATGCAAAACTGAGCAGAAGGTAGGAGGCTTAGAAGAGGACTAGCCCAGGAAGTCCAATGTTTGACTTAAAGAAAGCCTGAGAAAGGGAGACAAAACATGGAGGGGTTGTGCTAGACAATGTCCTAGAACCAAAAGGCAGTCTCCAAATTATTTTTAAAAATACCTACATTTCAGCACATTATCATGAAATTTCAGATTTGCAAGGATAAAAGAGACGATTCTAAACATTTCTGGGGAAGGAAAAATGATCACGTGCAAAGTTAGAAAAAATTAGGGTTCCTGTGGCTATAGTAAATGCTAGAAAACAGGGATGCAATGCCTTCAAAATTCTGAGGGGGGAGAATTACATTGATGTAACTCCTTCCTAGGAAGTTTCTAAAGCATATGCTCTGATAAAATGAGGGAGGGTACCAGAGAAAAAGCCAGGTCAAAGAAACAAGAGAGAAGTAAAGAAGTAAATAAGAGAGAAGTTCCAGGAGATGGCTGGGAGATGGCCAGTAGACACAACTATCCTCCAGGGGACAGGTTTCCAGGAAAAACGTTATAAAGAGTTCAGGATAAATGTACAGTAAATTAGGCCAATGAAAAGACAAGGTAGGGGTACCTGAATGTCTCAGCCAGTGGAGCATATGACTCTTGATCTCAGGGTTGTGAGTTTGAGCCCCATATAGGGTGTAGAGATTATTTAAAAATAAAAATAAAAAATCTTAAAAAGAAAGACAATTAACTCCAAAAAAGAAATGTAATCTTACAACTCATCTCTGTGATGAGCATTAGTTACCTAATTATAATAATGTAAATACTATAAATTTTTCCAGACACTGTAATATAAAGATAAGAGAAAGGATGAGGGAAGGGGAAGGGAGGTAGAGCAGGGGTGTAAGAAAGCTAAATTCTTGTCTACCAATAAATGTTTAAAAGTAAAAGGTAAAAAAATTAAAAACGAAAAGGAAAAAAAGAATTTTATGGAGTATAAATTCTTAATGTTTTTAAAAAGTAGAAAAAAATGACAAAGAGCAATATAAGCCTATTATTTAGAATAAGGCAGCAAACACTAGAAGAAATGGCTAAAAGACTTGAGTAAAAGCAACTTAAATCTTTGGTACTCTGGGGAAAAATGAAGAAAAGCGGCTGTGTTACAGCTGACAGGGGGAAAACCCCGAGTGGATTCAGTGGGAACAAGAAATCAAACTGGGAAAGGCCATAAGAACCCAAAAGTAAGGAAGTCACAGTGACCTTGGGGAGGACTGGGCTGCTCAGGGCTGTAGAATGGGGAGTCCGAGCCCCTATTTTTATGGGACTCCCAGGGTTCATGGTGACCCAGAAGGCTGAAGAGATTCAGTTACATGGGGTTCCTCTTACATAAGACCTCTGGTTCTCCATGACCAGACACTACACGTAGGCTCCCATGTATGTGCACATGCGTGTGTACACACACACACACACCCGCCCCCACCCCCAATCTGGGCTTAAGCCTCACCTGGGCTTGAGGTAGCTGAGTGCTTCTGAGAACTGGTTGGTGAGGAAGAGGTCCAGGGCAGTCATACACTGGTCCAGGGCCTCATGGAGGCTGCTCACAGGAGTCCTGCTGGGAGAGACATGGAAGTGACCAAGAGCCCTCAACCCCTGTCCAGGCTAGAACAAAGCCCCACAGGGCCCATGCAACCTCCCTGCCAGCCTTGGATGCCTGTCAAAAGCTCCTCCAGGGGAGGAGACACAAAGACACAAAGACAATTCGGACATACCTCTAAGTGTTCCTAAAGGTAGGAGAAAAGAAGAATGGGGGTGTCATCTGAGATCTGGTGGAGGGGTTTGGGGAGGAGCAGAGGATGGAGAGCAAGGAAGCCTCAGGAACAAATTTATCTTACCCCTCACAAGGTTAAAGGGAGTCTTTATGGCCCTTCTGACCCATCAAGCTTTTCTGCCCTGCTCCCCAGGGGGGCACAGCCCACCCTCTAAATCCCACTTCAGTCCTTTTCCTCTTCCTCCTTCTCCAGGACTTCTCCTGCCCATCTTGAGCCTGCACTCTAGAACTCCAGAGACACTGTCACAATGGGCTGTGGTGTGCAGGCCTCTCAAAGGCCACCTTCCCTGTACCTGACCCTCTTCCAGCCCTTACATTTCTCTATAGCTTTTATCACTCTCTGACATACACGTATATATTTCTTTCTTTCTTTCTTTTTTATTTTATTTTATTTTGTCTGTCTCCCTCCACTAAAAATAAGCTTTCTGAGGGCAGGATTCCTTCTTCTGTTTAGTGCTGTATCCCCAGAATCTAGCATCTGGTACAAAGTGGGCTTTTGATAAGTATCTGTTAAGTGAATGAAAACTGATTGAATGAAGTCTCAGGCTGGAACAAATCCCTGAGCTGTCTGGGTCTCGGCTTCCCCAACTGAAAAATGAGAGATTAAACTATGAAATCCCCAGAGTCCTATCTTGAGGATGTCTCTTCTCAAGGAGTCTCTTCTGAGTGAGAGAAGGTTCCAAAAGGGGCCTTGATGACCTCATTGAAAGGAGATCCTTTCCCCCCAAAGTTAGTTAAGAGAGTCCCTTTCCACCTGGTAAACATCTACACATAACTTTCCCAGTTCTAATGTCTCTTCCTCTCTGATGCAGCAGCAGATCTTCCTGGCAAATTGAAACAAACTGAAACATGTACCTTGTTCAAAATTGAACTCTTGTTCATTCTCTCAAGCCTGTTCTCCCCCAGTCTTTGCCATCTTAATAAATGACATCCCTCTACCCAGTTTCTCAAGCCAGAAATCTGACAGTCAGCCTTGATACGTCTACCCCATCACTAAGCCCTATCAGTTCCGCCTCTGGAAAATCTCTTAGCCCAGCCCCTTCTGTGCCCAGTGAAGGCCACCGGCACCTTCACCCAGGGCTGATGGAAGACTGGCCCTTCCACTCTCACTCCTCCTGCCCCTGTTCTCTCTCCGTTAAATCATTCTGCTCAGTATTGCAGGTCTCTCAACTCTCTTCTTTGCAATCTCTTTGAATCTGTTACAGTCTGAGTGATTTCTTCAGATCTTTCATTTCACTAATTCTCCACAAGGTATGTGTGATTTGCTATTTTTCCTGTCTACTGAGTTTTTAATTTCAATGATTATATTTTACATTTCCAGAAATTCCATTTGCTTCCTTTTCAAATCTGCTTGGTCGTTTTGGGCAGTATTTTGTTCCCTGCTTATTATTTCAAGTCCATCTTGACTCCTTTACATGTTTTAAAAACATTTATATTCTAGATCTCATAATTCTAGCATCTTTAGACTCTCAGTGAAACAAATTCTGTTGTTTCTTGCTTTTGGTGTCTACTACTCACAATGACTTGTTTCCTTGTGTGTTTTGTAATTTAACCATGAGTTCCTATTTGGCTGATCCCAAAGGGATCTTAGGAGAAGGATCTATTCCTCCAGAGAGGATTTTCATTTACTTTGGCCAGATTCCCTGGGCTGCTACCATATCCTATGATACTTAAGTTACTTTTTTAGGTTAGTATTTCTAGGACCACAAAAGGAATAGGTTTTCAAACCCAAAATTTGTGTGAGGGCAGATTAAAATTTATAAGTTTCTAGGGAGCCTTTTTTCTCCACTAGACCTGTCGTCCCCCTTTATGAAAGGGTGTCTACCTCTTTCTGGTCAATATTCCTATTTGCTGGGGGGATAGCTCTTTGGAGGTCCCAGATTCATGTGGTGGTATAAGGGGGACAAGTTTCAACTCCTCACACTATCACTGGGCTGGCCCATCCCTTGAATGGTCATTAAAACTCCAGGCTCTACCAACTTCAGCTCAGGTCATGATCTCGCAGTCCAGGAGTTCAAGCCCCACATCTGGCTCTGTGCTAACAGCTCAGAGCCTGGAGCCTGCTTTGTATTCTGTGTCTCCCTCTCTCTCTGCCCCTCCCCACTCGTGCCCTGTATCTTCCTCTCTCAAAAGAAATACACGTTAATTTTTTTTTAAATTAAAAACAAAAACAAAAACAAAAACGAAGTCCTCCAGATTTTAGACTTCTGGAATTTATAAATATCTTCACATTGCTATGGCTTCATCTCATTTATCAGCATGATTTCAGCTTTTTATTCTTGGCTTGAGAAGATTTGTTACTTTGTGGAAACTCAGGAATGTATTTTAAAGCATGTTTGGAGTAACCCATCCAGCCTCTAGGTAGTTTTTATAAGGGAGAATATTGGAAGCATTATTGCCTCCAACCCATCCCTCTCATAACAGCCAAAGTTCTCTTTTTAAAACCTGAATCTGACCATGTCACTTCTGAACTTGAAATCCTTCACTGGCTTCCCATTCTCTTAGGTAAAGACCAAGTTTCTTTCCATGGCCAAAAAAGCCCCATCAGAAACAGCCCTTGCCCCTCTCTTCATGAGAAGGGCACAGTGTCTTCCTTTGTGCCCAGGGCTTAGCCTAGTGACTGGTGTTCAGTCTGCCTATTCTGTGAGCACTTACTGCCCTGGGTATTTAACTGGCATTCTCTCCTTGAGTCTTCACAAAGCCTGTGAAGTAGGATTATTATCCCCACGGTAGATGAGGCACCGAGGAGAGGTGACTAGGCCAAGATCACATGCCCAAGCATGGGTCCTAAACAAGTTTCTGCCTGAGCCAGTGCCCTTCAGCTCAGCCCCAGGAAGACAAGTCTGTTGTCCTGGCTTATGACTATCTCTAAACAATTCCAGAGCCAAGAGCCTACCTCCCATTTCTGTATAAACACCACCACCACTACCACCACCACATCCGCCTCCCATCAAGAAAGAGGTTCTGGGGGCACCTGGGTGGCTCAGTCCGTTAAGCATCCGACTTCAGCTCAGGTCATGATCTTGCAGTTCATGAGTTCGAGCCCCACGTCAGGCTCTGTGCTGACAGCTCGAAGCCTGGAGCCTGCTTTGGATTCTGTGTCTCCCTCTCTCTCTGCCCCTCCCCTGCTCATGCTCTGTCTCTCTCTCTGCTCTCAAAAATAAATAAACATTAAAAATTTTTTAAAAAAGAAAAAAAGAAAGAGGTTCTGCCTGCTTGGTCCACATGGAGAGAAAGATGCATAGACAGATGGACATAGAGCACAGAGGTGAATTCCCTCCCTTGGCAACCCTAGCACCTCTTCTGCTGAACCATAGTGAGGTGATTCTGAGATGACTCTCCAGACTGGGAGCTGCTTTGGGGTGGCCCTGGGGCTGATTTTCGCCTTCCTTTTCTCCCACAAATACCCTCTAATCTCTGGTTCTGGCCCAGCCCTGGCCCTGCCCTTGAAGACTTCACGGTCTAGCAGAGAGACAGAGGCAGACAGAGGCATTGACAGCCAGAATCATCAAGGCCGCATCATGGGAATCACTGAAGGCTAAGGACGCCCAGAAGTGGAAGGGGAGCACTCAACAGAAGCTTTCTGGAAAAGATGGCACTGAACTGAGGACAAGATGGAGAAAGAAGTCCAGGAAAGGGAAAAAGCCGAGCAAGGAGCTAGTCATGATACCACAGTGACAAGGAGGCACAAGCTATAGGGGCAAGGTGGCAAGACAGGCTCTAGAAAGCCTCCTCTGGAGGGGTGAGGCAGGGGTGTCCTGGCTGGCTGGGGAGCTCAGGAAGGCTGAGGACACTGACCCCATTTGACTTAATGACTGCATTAATTCACCACCACTGAGAATATCACTCCTCCCACCAGCCCAGAGGCAGGCATGCTTATCTGCATTTGACAGATAAGGAGATAAAGACAGTGAGGGCAGGGGCCTAGTCTCCTCCACCCAGGAACCTAGGAGAAGGCAGAAATGCTTTCCATAAAAGCAAACTGGCCAAAAACATTTTTCTTCCCCTGGCTGTGACTGAGGCCCCCACTTCTCTGCAGGCTGTCCCCATGTCTTCAAGACCTCTATGCTCCAAGTCACCTTGCCAGCCCAGATTAACACATTACTGAGCTTCTGAGGGGTTGATGGTGGCCTTTCCACTGTGCCTTGGAGAACCTGAGGCATGGAGGTGGGGAGGGGGGCGCTGAGCTAGAAGGAGCATAGAGCAGGGCTGGTAACCGATGCCAGGAGCTTTGGCATCACAGGGGAGGGAGGTTTGAGGCTGGAGTGAGAAGGGAGGTGGAGTAGGGGAAGGGGTGTCACACAGCCTGAAGTCACCCCATTCTCCCTTTTTTTTAGCAGATTTAAAAAAATTTTTTTTTTATTTTTTATTTATTTATTTTTGAGACAGAGAGAGACATAGCATGAGCAGGGGAGGGGCAGAGAGAGAGGGAGACACAGAATCTGAAGCAGGCTCCAGGCTCTGAGCTGTCAGCACAGAGCCCGACGCAAGGCTCAAACTCACAGACCTTGAGATCATGACCTGAGCCGAAGTCAGACGCTTAACCGACTGAGCCACCCAGGCACCCCACCCCATTCCCCCTTTGCCTCCCCCTCCCCACTTTAGTCTGCCTGGAAGCTGCTACCCTGACATCAGATAGGCAAGAGCTGGATGGAGCAGAGGAACCTCTCATTCCCCACGGGGGCAGTAGAGGCAGTGCAAGGAAGTCACTTAGGGAGCAGAATGGAACCACAGCTGGCTTTTCCTCCCTGCTTCACCATTCAAGGGGAACTGTGGCTGAGGGGAGCAGGGGGATGATCTGTGCATGGGGACCTATCGCTTCCAAAGTGACCTTTCTTCTTTTAAATTTTTTTAGAGAGCACAAGCTGGGTGGGGAGCCAGAGGAAAGGGACAGATGGAGGGAGGGAGGGAGGGAGGGAGGGAGAGGGAGAGGGAGAGAGAGAGAGGGGGAGAGAGAGAGAGGGAGAGAGGGGGAGAGGGGGAGAGAGAGAGGGAGAGAGAGAGGGGGAGAGAGAGAGGGAGAGAGAGAGAGGGAGAGAGAGAGAGGGAGAGAGAGAGGGAGAGAGAGAGAGAGGGGGGAGAGAGAGAGAGGGAGAGAGAGAGAGGGAGAGAGAGAGAGAGAGGGAGAGAGAGAGAGCGGGAGAGAGAGAGAGAGCGGGAGAGAGAGAGAGCGGGAGAGAGAGAGAGAGCGGGAGAGAGAGAGAGGGAGAGAGAGGGAGAGAGAGAGAGGGAGAGAGAGAGAGGGAGAGAGAGAGGGAGAGAAAGAGAGAGGGAGAGAGAGAGAGGGAGAG